AGTCAGTAAGGAAAGACTATATTGCAGCAACGAACTGTACCTAGAGTCGAAGCAAGACTACAAAAGTTAAGTAAGTAACTACAAGTTAGAGGTAAAGGTAACGAAGTACTCACTCTTCAGTCAGTAAGGAAAGACTGAAGAGGGAGGACGCAATCTGAAGTCCTTATATACTACAGAGAAGAGTCCATGACTAATCGAAGAGTGGTTAGTCACATGTACCATAGTGCGATGAATAATACAACGACGAAAGAATTGCGACGTATCGCACCATAGGATGAGTAAGAGATGAGTAAGGCATAGACCTGTCTAGACCGTTCTAGAGTAGTACGGATTGTCCTAGACAGTACCAGAAGAGTCCGGAAGCATAGCTATAGTACACGAGCAGAGAGTCCCAAATATGGTAACATACTACATAAGCGACCACAGCTAAGCGCTAGGAGACGCATAGCCTCGTGTAGTCCGGACCGGATAAGTCCAAGTTCAACATTTGGGGCTGGTACGGAGATTATGTCCAAGTCGTGCGCACATATCTGACTGGCCATCAATGGTGCGGAGACGGCTCACCTTGATCCAGAAATTCATGTGTTCCTGCAAAAGGTCCACGGGAACCCACGCGTTCGGTTTTTCTGTTGGGTTGACGAGCCAGTTCTTAATCATGATATTCCTGGCGAGTGCAAGTTTCAATAACAAGGAAGAGAGAGACATATATATCACTCACCGCAGCGGCTTAGGCCAAACATGTGTTAGATTGTGCACCAGGTGGAGAAGCTCGTGCGCGTACTTAGTGCGTCCGAGTCCTCGATACATTAGCGCCAAGATTTTTAGGACACGGATGATGCGTCCCGAATAACCCCCCTTAATTGCATCTGTGAACTCGCGCAAAATGAGGGCGTCGCGAAGGAACAGACAAGCATTCTCAAAAACCATATCCCCTGTGGTCAGCGGCGGGGGTGTAAGGCTGTCATCGGGTGACGCCGATTCGGTTTCTTGAGGTGGAGCATTCGATGGAGGTGCGGACAAAAGTGGGGGGGTGGTTGCAGATGTAGGAGTGAGGCCGACAGGATGTAGCAGCTGAGATGGAAGATGTGGGGATAGACGTGCGCGGGTTGGGAGATCCTTCATTGGGCGTGGCATCGATGTAGGTGGGGATGTTGGATGCGCTTGGGCAGCGTTTGGGTAGGGCGTAGCTGACGCGTGTTCATCAGGTGAAGCGGGCAGGACACGAGTGACGGCCTCGCGCCGCTCAAGCTCAGACTCCCTTGCATCCCGTAGGTCTGAGATACGGGCAGGACTGCAGAAGTCCTTGTGGATGCGCGCTACATCTGAGCGAAGCTGATCGAACGACACAGTCGAGGCATACGCCTCAAGGGACTCGCAACCCGTGACCAGCTCGAGACAATGGAGAGCCGACACCGTAAGGGTGTCGAAAATAAGGTCGCGACAGACACGATAAGGAGGGAGAGAGGTTAGAACAATGGGTTTGCGATCCAGAATTGTGTTGAAGAAGGAAAGACAGGAAGGATTTCGCGTACCAGAGCTGGGATCGCCCCAGTGGGTCTCGATAATCCCGTGCGTGAGGGCCATCTGGTGGTGAAAGAAACCTGGCCCAGAAACGATGTTGGCATATGATCTCCCAATGGTCTCGTGTCCGGTACGAATGCCAAAGAGGGAGCGGAGGCGGGAAATAGATAGTTGGTCGCCAAAAGTTAGGCGTGCGGTGTCATAGAAGACAGGCTTGTCGATGTCGTACCCGAGCTCTCGAAAAACGGCGTCGACAACTTCGCTGTTGCCGGCGGTGCTGGACTCGTCTATGTTCATGGCAGGAAGGGGGTGAATCTCTGTCTGCTCCAATGGAATCTTATCATCAGTGCCAGGGAGACAAGGATGAAGCTTAGAGGTAAAGCGAGTAAACAGATCGGAGCCAGATACAATCACCCGGAGAAGTGTATGCTCTAGAGACGCCTCGAAAACCCCCCTCTCCTCGGGGGTATGTAAGATATCGTCAGGGGTAAGGGGGGGCGCCATATCGAGAGAGTGTAGCAGGTCTTCGGTACACATATCTTCGTCGCGAGCTCCTTGGTGGAGACGGAAGATGGTCGCGCATGTTCCGTTTTCCTGAGAGTCCTTCCGCCCAAGAATCTGTTCCGCGATTTTGAACATCATGTTGATATTGTCGTATACAAGTCCGCAAGGCAAAGTCTGGGCACAATAGCGAGTGGTAAGCCGGCAAGAGTGGGACAATTGCCTAAGAAGACCAGCGCCGCGCGCAAGCAGGCTCTCAAAGAAGATAGGCGCTGGCATGTTTCTCGCGTGTGCGTCTGGGATCGCGTCTCTGCTCGTGGGTTCATCTATCTCACATCTTCAATGGGCTAACACTACCTAGGACTCGCGCGACACATCTCACCTTCATTGATGTTCACTGGGTTGTCTTCTTCGTCTACGATGCTGTCGGTATCTTCGCTACTCTGGTCTACGTCGTCGCTGCTGTCGGGTGTCCAATCTGGGTCGTCGCTGTCCGTGTCTGTCTCGATTTCTTCATCACTCTTGCTTTGGCTCAGCGGCGCAGGTGTACAATTTGGGTCGTGAACTGTTGCCTTTGCACTTCCAGCAATAGAAGGGTAAGTGCTGCAAATATTCATGGAGGACAGGACAGAGATATTTTGGCGTTGGGCACCAGTTGCATACAGGTATACCCCCATGACATGCTTCACGAAGCTGTTGTTTTGACTTCGCTCTGACAACAGGCCGGTCATTGCGACACCAATGCTCTGAAACATTTCAAACTAATTATCAGCGCATGGACATGGTGAGCACATGCTTACGGTGTTGTTCTTGGCTCGCCTTCGGGCCCGAGTTTCGTGCTCGCGTTCGGTGCTAGGAGGGATTTCGTTCTTCTTGCGCTGACGCTGGGTGGTACTGAAGGCCCTGAGGAGCACTGTGGTTGTTGGACATATCATACGTATACGTTCGTGTATTTCAGACAGGCTGAACGAGAGGATAAACGAGTCGGTCATAGGCATTTGACGGGACTGGAGAACACCTTCCCGCGTGACGGACTCGGCTTCTCTATTGACGAGGTGGGTCGTGTAGTCGATGGCCCATACCCGCATGGCCCGCTTTCCTGTGCGCGAATTTTTTTGGGCCCAGAAATCGAGGATTCGATTTACCTGCACCGAATTTTTGAATAACCCTTCATATTGCACCTGCTTGCAGCCGGACATGGGGTCTGAGACCCATTCGACAAAGTCGCCCCATGTCGAATCGACCGCTTCGATCTGTGCCAGAACACTCCGGTAGCAGGTGTGTTTCTGAGTCACCTTCGCGCCCAGAAGCTGCTCCTCTAGCTGTTCGTTAGCCTGCACATTTGCAAGCCCTCGAGCGACAACCTGCTCCTGCCTATGTTGGCTCTGTTCGGCCACAGTGCTCTGCCTCTTCTTCTGACGTTTCCGTCGCTTCGCTTCCTTTGTATTAGCAGGGGACGTCGGCACGATGCCATCCCAGTCGAACTCGGACTCGGTCAGAGGTGAGAGCGCCGAGCGCGTTTCATCGCATTCATTCATGTTACGACTGACTGTCGAGCGAGTAAGTGGAGACGAGCGAGGCAGGCAGGAGCGCCGACGAGCTCTGATCGCAGTGAGACTAGAGCGGAGCTCAACAGGCAGGACTGGAGACAAGTTGTGTATTGAGCGAGGTATCTACAGAGCGAAATACACGATGGCTTACCTGGAGACAAGAGGTCGAAACTAGAGTCTCCAGGTAGCAAGGGATCCAGCTATATACAGGGAACGAACAATGGGCGCTAGAGAACAATAGCGTCGCCATGGGTACGGAGTACAAGGGGTGTAGGACAATAGCGGACGTGGGAACAAAGGGAGCTATTGTCCGTGTGTGGACAAAGGGAAACCGTAGCGAGTAGTGAACAATAAGGAAACGTACGAGGCAGTGGTCCGAATCGAAAAGGAAACATAGCGCCGTGAGGGCGGTTCGTGACAATTCACTCTGTGCTCCTCATCGTCAGTGACTTCGGCAAATATCTGACGTGTACTCTCGTACTCGAAAGTGCTCGGATTGGTGTGGTAGAGGAGGTTCTGAAAGAGACGGGGGAATTTGAGTAGCCAGACCTCTACGTAGTCAGGATG